AGGGCACGTTTGGGAACTTCGAGAATGAACAAGAGAGAGCTAAATTTCTGTGAATTTGGGGATTGGGGAGAGAAGGGAAGAGAAAGGAGGGGAGCAGGAAGAGCTAGTAATAGGGCAGGCAGATGGAGTCGCAGGCAAAGGGTTGTTTCCAGGGGGAAGAAGATTTCTAAGACAAGAAGACAGCAAAGGCAAGAACACAGAGGTATGAAATTCTACACAAGGCAACTTGCTCATCAAAGAGAAATAAATCCCAGTGGCAAAGTGGTTGGGAGATGGGCGGGAACAGATGTGTACCGTCCAATTTTAAGTCTGTGTATCCCCAAACATTGGCTGTGTTCAGACTCCTGTAGAAATCAAGTAACTGGAGTTGAATTCCACGTCAGGGTTGGTGGCGTGCACGGCAGAGAGCAGCCGTGGAGTTGGAGCTGCGGGAGCGTTCAGTACGGGGTGGAGCTCTGGGAAAGCCCGTTTGGGATCACCTGGGTGACCACCTGATGACTCAGGGTGGCCCTGTGACTTCAGTGCCCGCGTCTGCACTCGTGTCGACAGCTGCACTGGCCCCAACCAATCGTTAGAGTGACGGCACTTAATGTTTAATACAGAGTTGCTTATGATCAAGTCTGAGGTTCTCCAGGGTTTATGAGAATTGTTTTTGCCCTTTAAATGGGGTTTGCACTTTACCCACATTCGAGAAAAACTGTCCTATAAAGACTTGTTAAAGAGAATCAAGTCTCATAAGACCTTCTGTATATTGTCTATGATGACAATGATGATTTTTGTCTAGTTTTCAAAGTAAGTACATCAGAATTTCTACTAGGAAATCTTTTATTTTTCATGTCTATATTCACTAACTCAGATCGACCTAACCTGATTTAGCCTAAATTATCTATTGTTCTGGCAAAGCAAGATGAAAGTTGTTTGCATATCTGCAGTCTTGCCTTGGAGAGTTAATATTTACACAGCTATGAACTAATACATTTCTGTGAGTAGCACAAGGCAGTGCTTCACAGTTTTATTCAGGACAGGAATAGCAGTAAAAAAGTCGGTTTTTCTTGCATGTTAGTAACGATCTAATGCAGGGAAGAGCTCTCATCATTTTGAAGGCTCATGTCCTATCTATTAAGATCACAAGTTGGAAAGTCAATACACATTTTTTTTTGGCTGCTACCCTGAGTCAGGCATGTGCGAGGCACAGTAGAAAACAGAAATGGGTACCACTCCGGAGAAGACAGAAATAAAAACTAAAGGTAGACGATGCAAAGGTTTCAGAAGACTTGAGAGATAAGTTCTAAGGGCATGGCAAAGGGGGCAAGTCTAGCAGCACTGTCTGGGAAACGAGGAAAGCTTCATGGAGGAGGTGACATTTCTGTCAAGTTTCCAGGGGGAAGAGGATTTCTAAGACAAGAAGTCAGCAAAGGCAAGAACACAGAGGTATGAAATTCTACAGAAAGTAACTTGCTCATCAAACAAACACTGGATTTAGGAAAGACATTCTAAGGTTTCATTTTTGATGTTCCTCAAAAATATGAGGTAGCTAAAATTCAGATCACCTAAATTTTGTCCCTTCCGTTCATTGCACGTATTTCTTTTTTGATCCTCAACCCTGATGCAGAGAAAAATATATGTCTAATTAAAAGCAAGGGCTGCTTCTGGATTTTAACACCATGGTGTGGTGGAGGTACTGATATGAATGCCTGTGGCGACTATGAAATTTACATCTGTTTAACCACAATGATATAACGGTGCTGAAATGAACCAAGAGAAATTTAAAGACACTCGGAAGGCATTGTGAGTGCATCTGAAAGCAGGTTAAAAATAAGCCACAGCTTTGCTTGTGATTTCTGAAACATCTCTTTGTTTAATTATAGAATTTTCATTTTCCATTCATCATAAATAATCCACTTTATTACTTAACCAAACCTTTTGAAAAAAATTTGGTATTTAGCATAAACAAACACTGAACATTAGCCAGAGGTGTGTTAGTTTTAAACAGAATAGGGAAGAAATTTTTTTAAAAACCCACAAAAAATTTTCAAACCTAGAAAAAAAAACCACATGAAAAGATCAACATTATTATCCATTAAAAGATTCAATTTCATGACAACCATTTAAAAAAAAAAAGCCAGGTGTAAAAGTGAGTAAACATAAATATAATCTAATGTATTTCTTTCATAAATACACTTAGACAAAACAAATGCATAAAAGAGACAGCTTGACAGTGTATAAACATAACAAAATATTTTAAGCTCTGAATAATTAAATCCCAATAAGCATGAATTAAAAATAAATTTTGATTTTATTTTTTGTTTTTTATGAAAAAATATGCCACAGCATTTGTGTAAAAAAAGAAACAGGCACAAACATATCACTAAAGCCACCAAAGTTCACTATGTAAAGATTATTTGAAAACAAAACATTTTTTAAAGCAAAAGATCAAATGTTATCATAGCATTTTCAGTTGAATTTTATCCCATAATCACACCTAGTATAGGTGTTAGACAATAGAGGTAGATAAGTTGGGGAGAATCAGTATTGTAATGTTAGGAAGAAAAATTTTTATGATAGCTCAGACAGACAGATGATAGACAGACATTTCCATTTACTCTAAAATCCAAAGAAGCTTGTAGAAACAAAACACGAAAGCCTTTCTGTGCTTTCTATAAGCATCAAAAATAGCACTCAAAATTTCTGTGGGTTTGGACAAAAGTGAAATTCTTGATAACTGTGTATACTACAGCCTGTTTAGCACAGATTTTTGCAGGGTCTGGTACTAGCCTTAAAATCTGGGTCAATGACATTGACAAAAGATGAGACCTGGTAATAACAATGATGTAAACTTACAGTACTGATAAAACATGGTAAGTTTCTAAGGAATGATTTCTTGTTGTTGTGGGCACAACAACAACATAGCAAAAACAGCTGCTGAGGATATTGCGTGGCCTTGCTGAGACCCAGGGTGCCAACACTGTCTGTCAAACCAAGAGAGGACATGTAGAGAGGATATGCCAGGACGGTGTGCAGGAAACAGAAAAAGTGTTCCCTTAGTTCTACATATTCCTTTATTGTCTATTTGGGTCCAGTTAAAGTTCTTGCAGCCACACTAGAAGCAATTATTGGATACTCCTTTGAAAGCTGGTACCCAATTGGGAACTAATTTTACTTGATATTTTGGTTAATGAATGCTGTTGCATTTTCTTTCCATCTGGCTAGACAGAATGTGTATATGTAACATTTGTTTGCATCTACGACCTTTATATTTTCATTTATTCATAAGAGCAATATGGTTTAACTTTTTAAAAAATGTTGCAAACATTTGTCAGATCTGCCAAGGAAATTCTCATTAATTAATTGTCTCAAATGCCTTGAGTGTGCTTCATTCCAGGATGTAACAGGCTGTTTCTGGCTAAAAGGGGCAATTTGCAAAGTGCTCAGCACATCTGTGTAACAGGAAAGAAAATTTGGTCTCATTTGTGGAATGTGAATATAATCCATCATTAATTGTTGCTGCTTTCAAACTCATTGTAACATTTTTGTGTCTCGTATTTGGCTGTTATAAGTGTTCAAGTGTACTGGAAAACAAGTAATAAAAAATTATAGAAAGGAAAATCATATTAAGATATAATTTAAGGACCCTGAAAACCAAGTGATATAATCTAACTCAAAAACTTCACATAATTCACTCATAACTCAAACATCAGGTTTTTTCTTTGAAGCAGCTTATAATAAATGTAAGCCATATAGCATCACAATCTCTTACAATGGGAATGAGGAATTTCTGTGTGGAAACTATTTGAAAGGATGCCTTAAAAAATGTGTCAAGGAATGCAGAGAACTTACTCTTTTCAGCATCTATTTGCTCTATGACCCCTGCTGAGTTGATAAGAAAGAGGCATGTCACATTTGTAGAAAAAAAAGAATCACACAGTAAATCAAAGTGTGCATGGATAAGACTTTGGAAATGCTCACTGTCATCAGAAGGGCATTTCCCTGATGGTGTGACCTCATTTCAAACGTTACAGTAACTATTATAGTATTGCACAAAAGGTGGCGCAGAGAAAGCACGTTTGCTTTTTGTCACTTACTATGACTGTTTCCTGCATTAGGAAAAAAAAAATTAACTCCAAAATATTATACCACCCCTGGCAGCATACAACAAAGTATGTTTTGGAAATAACGCTCTTGTCAAATATATTTTAAGGCACTTAAGCAGGTATATCGTATTTTTGTGTACAAAAATAAAATATTCATTGAAGCAACATTCACAAGTACAAGTCTTCAGAATTGTTTGCCTGTACAATCCTGTACATATATACACCACTACAGAAAGTGCGTCTCCTGTTATACTGTTGGCCTCGTCAACTTCACTCCCTGCAAGAAAGGAGAAAACATGTTCAGAGTTGGACGGTATCTGTGAGCAAAGTGAAAGTATCAATTAACACCCAATAATTTATGCTACTAGAAGGAAGAAGCAGCCCACCCAGATGGCATTGTATAACCAATAATTCAAACTTCCGGACACAAACAGATTTACTAGCCCATCTCGCTGGCCAGCACACTTTGCCATCTGCCCCTAGCCTGGCTGGCTACTCGTACAGATCCCCTGTGCACCGGCTGGCGCCCTCGGTCTTAATCAGCATTGTCTGCTGATTAAGTAGAGGAGGTATTCACGGATACCCTGAAGACGGACTCTTTGTATTTATTTTAGTAGTCAAAATCAATGGATAAATTCTGGGTTTTCTGGATTATTCTAAATTAGCCAGTGTCTCCATAGTTTGGAGTGGTTTCTTTGCAAACGAAAAATGAACAACATTATGCAATTTACTCTCCATTTTGGAGATGCTTCTGTTACTCTGCAGAACAAATCCCAGAGCTTTTAAACATTTGGAAGAAAAATTTACCCTGATTAATTTGTTGTTCCCTGTGACTGCTTATTATTGATAAGAGTGTTAGGATTTTCTAATAATTTTCTTCATTCTTTGTCAAAATTTATACGTACAAATTCTGACAATGCACATACATATTGGTAAACACAAGCACAAATATAAGTGGAACTTTTCAAAGGGGATAAATAGTAAAAGAAAAAAAATGGTACTAAACTGCTTCTCTACCAACTCTGAGTAGGAGGCTGAGAGCCTGGAGTGGTCCCCAGTATCGAATCAATTTTATGTAACAAAATTTAACATTTTGTTAAGTATCTGAATTAGTGAACATGCTGAATGGGCTAATCTTCTCAGGTAGGGTCCTGGGGGCCTAAGGCCAGCCTTCTAAAAGTGATGGAATAATATATTTCCATCTGGAGTGTCATCGTGGTGCTGAGGAAAGATCCTGGGGGCCAAATAGACCAGGAGTCAAGTCCAAACTTCAGCACTGACTGAAATAACCACACGGCCTTGGGCTAGCTGCCCAACTCTCTGAGCCTGTTTCCTCATCTGGAAAATGGGCACGGCAAAGCCTACAGTGAACATCATTGTAGACAATGACGATGGCAATAATTATAGCAGCTAGCTTTTATCAAACACCTGCCAGTAATCCTCTACAACACTGAGAGTGTAGATCTTATCATTAGTCTCATAGTGGCAGAAGCTGAGACACAGAGAAGTAAAGTATGTCAAGGTTGCATGGTGAGAAAGTGGTAGAGCTGGCAGCCTGAGCTCTGCGCCAGGCAGGCTGGCCTCAGATGCAGCCCCTGAATCAGTTAAAGGATGGTAGGTGTTTAGCAGAGCTCAGTAGGTGGTATGTGGCCACTCCGTTTTCAGGATATTAGGGACATGACACACGGCATTTTGTCATTGGATGTCTCTTCTTCCCACACGTCTCCTTACTGATAATAGCTGCTGCCTCGTGCACAAACAGTAAGTCCTGGCAGGTTTAAGCCACCAGGAAGGAGCCAGCTCTATCAGCGATACCACGTTCTATGCATTGTCTAAGCTTCTTGGGAATCACCTAGTTTACTTTATTTTGGTTGATAATTTAGAAAATCAAATTGACAAATATCTAATATGTAACAAGACTCAAAGTTTGGTGAAATTAACATTGTGTGGGCTCCTTTGCTACTTAAATTTTATTTTTTAATGCCTGAACACAGTTTTGCCATATAAAGAAGTTATTTTGTGTCTGGAAAATTAAAAATAAATTAGGTATTCTAGGTAATGCCAGGTTCTGTTGTACTTAGAAAGGCCTGTGAAACCAGGACACAGCTGAGAGGCTGGGTGGGGCAAAGACGACACGCAGAGTGGAATGTGTACATATTTTTGAACCTTTACCCTGAACTGAACCTTTACCCTGTGCTATATGCCCTTCAAATTGAGCGAATTAAAAAGAGCTTTTTAAAACTGCATTTTAAGTATAATTGTCCTCTATACCAATTTAAACCCTTTAACCCTCAACCCTCCTGTTCGAATTGAAATGGATCAATGCACCGTTATTATGGTATTTAGTTAAGAAAGTGTGTACTTGAGAATGAGGATACGCTAGAATAAGCTGAAGTGTACGAGCAGTTCAGATTCAGGAACAGCATTTCAGTCTGATTTGGATCCAAATAAGATCCTTCCAGCGTCTCACCTTCTGCCTTGACACCATCCAAGACTTAATTGTTGGCACCAACACACTTCCCAGAAGGATCTGAGCTGGGTGGTAGATGAGCAAGGGTACGGATATCAAAGAGAGATGATCATGGCCTGTGAACACTATCTTCAGCATCGGAATTCCTGATGAACAAAGAAGACAGAAAATCTAGATGCAAATTCAGTCTGTCGTCAAATTAAAGACACACTCCATTAACATCAGAACTTCAGAATAGGTTATTACCATATTTCCCTGTGTGTATTCACAGAACTGAAGTGGGAAGAACTCACCAAATCTTCCTTTCACTATATAAAGCTCTAAGCTCTAACTAGAACAGATTAAAGTGAAAAGGTAGTCTGTATTCAAGGGTATCATAACTCTCACTGCGGATTAGCAGCCTGTGTAACAAGGACAGGAAAGAAGATTGCATGTGACAAAGTTGCCTTGAGAAGGCTGAAAAATATTGGTAAGGGAGAAGTTAAAAATAGATCTTCTCTTGCTTAGTAGACAAATAGCCTGTTGGTCTTTAGGGAGGTCTGCCTGGCACCAGTTCAAAGCCTCAATGCTTACTTTTGAGAGTTGAAAGGATATGGTCAGATAACGCATGGTATATGCTGTTCCAAGCAGGAGGGTACTTTAGTCAACAGAATATTGATAAAGGTTTTTGCATGTTCTCTTTTGGCCAAGGATCTCAAAGTGCTTTACAATCATCAAGCGAGGCTCATGCAATTTTGTATATGGCAGATGAATTGTAAAATTAAGGCTAAATGTTTAACACTCACAGTCAATGTCTTATTGGAACTCAAATATATGACTACTACCTTTGTGAGTCTACCATTCTCTTATACCAAAGGCAGGGTGTGTTATGTTTTGTAAGTGGCTGCCTATAGAGCATACCTTTTGAGCTTCTATAACTAACAAAATTCAGATACTAGCAGTTTAACTATTATTACCAATTGTTTTAATACAGCCATGGTCTTCAGAATTGCTATGTACATATATCAGCTTTTTCGAATGAATAGCTTTAATAGCTTCGCTTTCTTCTTGTTTCTCTGAGAACGGCCTCTGCAAAGGACCCGAGCTCCTAAACATGCACAATGATGGCACATAAATAACTTTTTATTGTAACACAACAAGGAAGGCTTGGCTTTTTCAATTATTTTTACCTTCTAATAAATTTCAAACCTTTATGCAAAAATGTATTTCATGGCTGATTTCTTTTTCACAGCCTCACAGATCATTGCCATAAACTGAAAACACTTAACCCTTCCCAAACATCAAGTCTCTCTTAGAGCTTCCAGAGTACATGTTTAGATTTTTGCAGTTTCTGTCTTCACACTAATACAAAAAACCAAAATAGCTTTCGTTTTTTAAAAATAATAAGCTTTAAAACTCTATTTGTTGTTGAAAAGCATCATCTCATACTATAGTTTTGGAAAGTTACTACAATGAGAAAATTTTAAGATCTGCACATAACTCCTCCTGTTTCCAAGAAAGGTTATTCATTCCTTGGCCCAAAGGGATGATGCTAAGAAACTGAGGGATGAGACGGAGTAAAAGTGAGGCTGAAGGGAGCAAGTAATAGAAGTATGAAGATATTTTGTCTCTAAAAGTGACCAAAGTGGGACTTTCTGACCCAAAATTCAAGGACTCTGGCTGCTGGGTTAAATCACCTGAGTTATCCTTTCTTGGCTAAGAATCTGGGCTCTGTGTCATTCTTCAGCAAGTTCATATGGGCTCAGAAGGGAAGCCAAAGCCATAGAGACAGTCCCAGGTGCTGCTGTCACAGTAAGTAAACAAAAAATCGATTGCAGAATATGCAAGATATCTAAATGTAAGCAACATCACAAATTCACTGTCAAGTGACAAAGTAGGTACACAAAGATAGCGACAGTACCAACGCTAGTGGTCTGTCCCGAGTGCTCACTATGTGGCCTGATCCGTGAAATGCTTTCCCATAGTAAGTGAACTACGTCTCACAACCCTGTGAGGTTGATGAAAATTATCCTTTTCACCATTTTACCAATGAGGAAACTGAACCAACTAGTGGTCAGGAAACCTCCCCCAGCGGCAGACTCCAAACTGCCACTCAGGACACCCCAATTTCCAGTTCTCTGTATCAGGTAAGGTCAGTTCAAGGTTCTACGGGCACTGCAGCTCCAGTGAAGAACAGGGCCTGGCATGCAAAAAGCTTTCTAGTCCAGCTGTCCTTTTGGAAGTCATTCCCCTTGAAGCACTTCCAGGGCAGCAGACCTCGTCAAACTCCCCCCCTCCCCACACCAGGATGTCCCTGTGATTTTGCGTGGGTGAAAAGCTAAGTGACGGCTAGGGCTACCCCAACAGTGGCAAAGGAGCCATGGATTTGAAGACATAGCCAAGTCTTGACCCTCAAGAAGTTTCTCGCATACAAGTGACCTCTACCTTCTTTGGACCCTAATAGCAAGTTGTAGGGAGCTCTCTTCCGGCCTGTGCTGGTTCTGCAGTTCTTAGCTCTCATATTCAGACACACCCTTCCGTGCGCTGCTCTCTCGAGAGGGCCGGGACTCTGCACACATCAGCCCCCCTGGTCAGCTGCTCCCTCCAAGGTTCCGCCAACAGGGGCATTAGAGGGAGGCTGGAGAAGGAGGAGGGATTTCTTTCCAGGTGCTTGGGCTTCCTGCTGGCAATAGCGCCTTCACGGGGCGGGGGTAGTTGGCTCCAGCCCATAACTCGCCGTGCCCCTCGGAGCCACAGCACCAGCCCTTTCCTTCCTTTGCCTTTTATGACAGTCATTGGCCTTACTTGAAAAAGAGAAGGGCTTCACGTGACTTGCAGCTGCTGCAGACGTCTGTCAAATTAAATAGGAATTTCTCCCCGCCACTTCATGTACCTGCAATACCTTCCTGCTAGCCATTAAGGTCAAGACCCGAGACCCCTTCATGTGTCCTCGTGTGTCACTCTCACAGGGTGGGTGCACAAAGCAATCCCTCAGCAGGGCAGGTGCACTTCAGCGGCTCAAGTCACATGTCATTTGTTTTGGGAACTTCTTTGTTCCCTTGGACTGAAAATCTACCTTACTCTTCAATCATTCGATGATCTACTTTCCCTTTCAGTTATTAGACTTTCTTAACAATCTCCCAGTTATCGCGGCCTTTCTTTTTTCCTGCTTTCGGCCTCTTCCCCACGTTCCCCCCCTGCAATCCCAGAAGAGCTGCCACTTGGTGCATTTCCGTCTTCTCCAAGGACAGAGTGGAAACAGAAGTTGGGGTGAGCAGAATGAGCTAACTCCTCCGTGTGCGAGCGCTGCGTTGCACGCTACGGCGGTCACCACCCGGAAGCAGCGAGTTCCCCATCTCTGCTCTAGGGCGTCTGTGCCATGTTTCAGCACTATCTGGATGACGGCTGGAAACTCAACAGAGAGAGGTTGGAAACTGCTTAAAAGCCACTGTGCTCACCGTACTGTGATTTCTGTCACCTGGGCATGAATTTGGCAAAATTTGCTCTTCAAGTAGTCAGAGAAAATCAGCTGTGCCTTTTATTCTGGAAGCCTATGTAATGCACCACTCTTTGGTCCTCTTCACTCCATAATAATTCACTTCATCAGTCACTTATCCTTTCAATTAGCGCTCCCGGACCTGATCAACCACTCTGCGAAGCTCCCGGAGGCGGTATGTGAGGGAACGCTGCCTTTACGTAACTTACTGCGCACATGGGTGACCGCTCACACCCCCATTCCCATCCCCATCCTCCAGGGCACCGTCAGCTCCCAGTTGCACTTCCCGCACGGTCTCTCTGCCTTCACGCTTGTCCTGTCCAAGCCATTCTCCACTCTGTGACCGGAGTGAACATTCTAAAGTGCAAATGTGATCATGTCGAATCCCGCAGAAGTTCATCACACGGGATAGACTCCTAAGCGTGGCATACAAGGACTTCATGACTCGGCCCCCAGCTTTTGCTCTTCCTCCCTCTAAATCTCACCACTCCTCTGCCCTTGGACCTCTGTGCTCCAGCCACGACAGGCGACTTGTGGCTCCCTCCACCCATCCGTGCCCACGGGTCGTGCTCTGTCTAGGACTTTCACACCCGACCTCCTTCTGCCTGGAGCGCCTCCCTCCCACTTCCTGATCTGCTCAACTCCTTGGTATGCTTCAGCTGTCAGTTCTTAGGCCTTTTCCTCTGGGAAGATGTCCTCAAAGTCCCAGGGCTGTCCTTCAGATCCTCTCTACTCCATGCTGACCTATGCCAGGGCATTCCAGCCTCACCTTCGCTCCCTGAGCACTGACCGCTTCCTGTATGTTTCCCTCACCAAGCTCTAAGCCTCTTAGGGTCGGTGACTGTTCCCTCTTCATCTCAGAGCATATGGCAAGTGCTCAAAAGGAGTGTGTTGAATGAATGAATTCGTATTTTTCCAGATTCCATCATAAAGTTACTGTGCAGACTATCACTCCATTTTTACTACATTCGTTAATTAGGAAAAAAATAGTAATAATTTAAAAACCCAAACAAACTTACTAGAAAGAGTTTTCTTTTTAAAGTAAGATTTAAATATAGGACTCTTTTCATCTTGCTATCACTGCAGTAATATAAATGAAGCAAATTAATTTTAATGCTCCCAGGTACTGATTCTGTGTCACCATGGTTGACAGGATTCGACTAGACTTTATGAGATGGCATTTGACTTTATGGAAGTGAACACTAGGCACGCAGCCACAATTTTACAGGGACTTTAAGCTGTCATGCTGAAAAATGTTTATAAAACATTAATCAAAAAATGCCTCTTTAATACAATGCATTGTCTGAAAGATGTTAGAAGGCGCATATTGTAAATGGATTCTTTTTCTGACTAAAGTAATTTCCACCAAAAGCATTTCCCCATTGCTCTACAAGCACACTGTGTGGATAGATAAAGAGCACTCTCTCAGCACATTACTACCTGATCCAAACACTTGGGAAATCACTAATGTACAGCATGCCATATTTCCATGTCACACATGACACATTTGTCTAAAATTATCCAACAGAGTTTGACACTGCAGCATATTCCTTAAGCAGAGCTTTCAACTGACATCTGCCAAGTAGGAACTTCAAGTAAGAGCTTTCTTCTTCTAACAAGAGAGTAAGGGTTTTCTTTTATCCTATACCCAGGATGGAAAGGATAAAACAA